GGCGCCGAGCCCCTAACTTGCTTTCCTCTCCAGCCTCCTCATCTCGTTTTTCTTCAGTGGTCTGGCTGATTAGACATGTTCCCTGCTCAGGTACCTTCCATGGCTCCCCAGCACCTTCCTGATCGTGATCAGGAGCTCAGTGCTGTTTTCAGAGCCTCCTGTCTTCAGGCCCCTTCCCAGGTTCAGCTTTTTTCTCCCTTTGTGACCCCTCTGCTGAACCAAGCCTAAGTACATGCTGTTCCTGTGTACCCTTCTGCTGTCCTGCCTCCACACGTTGCTCAAGCTGTCCCCACTGGCCAAAACATGCTTGCTTCCTCCTCTCTTCATTCTGAAATCCCGTTTGACCTTAAGGCTCAGCTTCCTTTCTTCCTTTCCTCCTTCCTTCCTTCTCACCAGCATGTTCTTTTTTTTTTTTTTTTGAGACGGAGTCTCACTATGTCGCCTTTGGTAGAGTGCCTTGGTGTCACAGCTCACAGCAACCTCCAACTCTTGGGCTTAAGCAATTCTCTTGCCTCAGCCTCCCAAGCAGCTGGGACTACAGATGCCTGCCATAACGCCGGCTATTTTTTTTGTTGTTGTTGTTATTGTTGTAGTTGTCATTGTTGTTTAGCTGACCTGGGCTGGGTTCAAGCCCACCAGCCTGGGTTTATGTGGCTGGCTCCCTACTCACTGAGCTATGGGTGCCGCCTCACCATCATTCTAATCAGACAACAATTAGTCCCTGAGCCCTTCCTATGTGTGTGACCCTTTGTTGGCTTTTCTGGGGGCATAGCAATGACAAAGACACTAGTGGGACTTCTATATCATGGGGGATCTCAGAGTAGTCAGAGCTAGGCCATTGCAGCTCAAGAGTGGTCAGGGCTGGGATAGGGAACCCCAAAACTTAGGGAACCCAGAGAGGTGACTGGCCACACTTGGGGTATCAGAGAAGGCTTCCTAGAGGAGGCATGTGAGTTGAGACCATCATGAAACCATCTGAGAAAATCCAGATTAACCACTGGATCTAGTATAAGGGGAGAGAATGAGAAGATAATAAAACCATTTATGATAAAATAAAAACAGACTGGGCACAGGCGGCACCTGTGGCTCAAAGGAGTAGGGCACCAG